TGGGACCGGGACACCGATTGCGAAAGTATGAACTGATAAGAAATGACAAGGAATGATAAGAGCGTTTGAATGCAGGTCTCTACAACTTCGTTGCAATTATCACTGGCAAGCGATCAAGGTGGCGAGGGTTGAAAGTAGTGACAGAAAGTGGTATGAGCGGCAACTGTACTGATAAAAGTAACGACAATTGAGCGTGCACTCATTGAACTAAACCAGGTCCCTAGCACGTGAATATGTTCCATTCCTATCCTTTCATCTAAAGAAGCAAAGAAAGTTGAGCTGCTCAACTATCTGGACTTGGACCAATAGCGAATTCCATCATATTGCAATCTCCATCATGGTTAGATGCTGATTGATTGGTTATATTTCACTTACACACCGATTCTTCAATTGTGGAAATTCTATAAACCGCTAAATCACCCGAGCTCGATATCAATGCTAAATGTTTACGAAGTCATGATAATGGAGTGTTCATAGTTGGCGATTAGGCGATTAGGCGATTAGTCTAAATGAAAAATATACGTATAGATTAGGCGAGTAGGCGAGTAGGCGAGTAGGCGATCAGGCGAGTAGGCGATTAGGCGGTGAAGACTACATACGTATCGATTGGTTTGCTCCGCCCATAGAACGTTGTAGGCGAGTAGGCGAGTAGGCGAGTAGGCGAGTAGGCGAGTAGGCGATTAGGCGATTAGGCGATTAGGCGATTTGCACACGGCGCACTCCTTAGTCGTCAAAATTGAGGCGCACATGCATATTAGCTTCTCACCCATACACTAGACTACTAGTTGGTAAAAGCAGATCTTGTCAAAGTGTTGCATACAATCCAGATATCACCTAATCGCCTACTCGCCTAATCGCCTACTCGCCTACTCGCCTAATCGCCTACTCGCCTACTCGCCTAATCGCCTACTCGCCTAATCGCACAATCGATCGCCAACTAGACGCTCCATAAGTGACCAATGTTTGTCCTGTTTGCTGCTTTTTGTTTCGCATTTGCTACTGCGCGCATTACGCAACAATCTTCAGCAAAACTGAACAACCTTTAGACATCATGTAACATCTCTTCCAAAACAGAGAGTTTAGGTCAGTTATTATCACTAATTATTTAGATATTAGGTTATTTGTTTGAGAAGCTAACAGTCGGTTTCTCGACAAGTGACCTAGTTAATCTAAAGCTGTCCAGTTTCACTAAAACGAGGTAAGCAAACCAGCCCTTTTGGCGCGTTTCTGCTGGGAGTATGCTGAATGTTGGGGAGGGGATGGGGTCCCCGACGGTCGACGGACTACTTCAACTCGGTCCTTTAAAACCGCCTCAATTTGATGCTTCACCTCAGGACTAAGCCTTAAAGAGAGGACGGACCTGCGAGAGAGCGCAGGTCCGTCCTCTCTCCAAGGCTTAGTCCTGGGGTAAGCAAACCAGCCCTTTTGGCGGAGCTGCTGGACCAGCTGCACCACTTGCGTCATACTCTCCCTACCGTACCGACCGAGTTGAAGTAGTCCGTCGACCGTGGGGACCCCATCCCCTCCCCAACATTCAGCATACGGCCCCAGCAGAAACGCCAAAAGGGCTGGTTTGCTCACTTCCACTAAAGCCCACCATATGATGAGCGCGGTTGCGTGCGGAGCTAAACTGGTTTTAGAAAAAGTGCGAACGAAGCGGTCGGCCCTGGCAGCTACGTCAAGGCTCAACAAGGCACCACATACTTCTTAGACCATGTCTGCTGCTGCTTTTATCCATACTCTCTGTCTTCTTCGGCACTCGTATCCTTAAGGGGGGGGGGACATCGAAGTGAGTGTACCACTCATAGCACTCGGGACTTAGCTCCCAGAACTCTTCCACTCATGGAGTGGAAGACTTCTGGGAGAGGATGTGAGCAATCATTGTTCTTTCCTTGTTCTTCCTAGTGTTTGTTCCCAATCCTAGGCTTTGTCCTAGTGTAACCTACCAGCGGTTTTTGAATCAGGGTCACCCGTGCGTTCGCGCTATTCGAACGAGGAGGTCGCATTTGTGGTTGGTTTTGGGGAGGGGTCGCGTTCAGGGGTAGGAGTTTTTGAGGGATTTTGGAGGATGTAATTGGTGTACAGCGTGGGGGGTTAGGGTAGGTGGGAGGAGAGGAAACTGGCCGTTTCATTGAACAGTAATACCCTTCCACCCTTTCCCACCTCCCGCTCGGCGCGTTTTTGGAAGAGATGTGGGTGGGGCTGGGCTGTCGTGTCGTCTGATCTCAGAATCAAAATACTTTAGAAACAAACAGCCATGATGGCGAGAGTGGTGGTCGGGGTAGGACTAGGCACTGGTTGTATTGGGAAAGCCTCCTGAGTCTCATGGTGGTTGGGGGAGTCGCATCGAGACCCCCTAAAGGAGGGGGGGTCGCGAAATTTCTGAAAATGTGCGAACGTCACGGTTCGTCACGTTGGACCGATTTCGAAAATTTTACGACCCCCCTCCCCTTCTAGAGGGCCTCGATACGACCCCCTCAGGGTCAACCCTTCACCACCCTCGCCTGCCATCGCCATCATGGGGCTCATTCTATAGTATTCGATTCTGAGACCAGTCGACACAGCCCAAACTCCGCCCACTTTTTCCTCCCCAAAGTTGCGTCGAGCGGGGGGTATATACCTATCACGAAACCGCAGACAAATCTCTCACTCCTTACTCCTCTATTTCACCAACATTTCCACAGCCACATTTTTTAGGGGGGGGGGTCAACCAACTGCATCATCACTTCCCTTACTGTGACATTAACGCTACCTCTCGAAATACGACCCTCCCCCACCCCTCGTTGCACTTTGTCCAACGCACGGTTGACCCTGGTTTTGAGTGGCCCCACTAAGGACGGTTACAAGCCTTCTGTCAATCAAAGGGTAAGAGCGTAGCTTGAAAAAGCACACACTTTCTGTCTTATTGGAACCAAGCCCTTGAAGGAGATAAAGAAACAGGAGCTACTGGAGTAGTCGGAGATGCCCTACACATAAGCAAAACGGCTGACGCCAAAGCTTCACGTCGACAGAATCCTGAAGGCGCCCCCATGCCCTCAAGCCAGGGTGAATATCGGTCGAGGAAATCCTCGACAGGGGGGTCGTACCTGTTGGGCTGGTCCATGGGGGGTCGTACTCTTGGGGTCAGTAACAGAAGTGGTATCATGGTGCAGATAGGTAATAGGGTATAGCGCAGCAGAAAATGAAAACATCCGAAAAAAAACATGATATTAAATTTTCTTTGCAGGTTCAGTCGCTCCATTCCTCCACCTTCATGAGAAGGGCGTATTTGAAGGCAGTACAAAGAATGAAAGTGCATCCCCGCAAAGAAGAGTGCCACATGTGCGCACGCGCTGCAAAGGCACCTCCTCCGCCTATCACTCGCTCCTTCTCCCTTAATACCTCGCTGAGAATGACGCTGTTGTTAGGGACCCTGTCGGAAAAACGACAACCGTGAAGAAAAAGCGCTGGGCAAATGAAGTTGTTTTTTAGGTTACAGGAATAGCACAACACACTATGTCTACTACAATACAGTTTCGTTCGAAGGTCCCCATCATATAACACCTTTCAATCGATTCTGCAACTGTGAGTGGAGGAGGGATGCATGGCTTATACCAATACCAAATCGGATGATGACGATTGCTCCTATTCTTATTGTTTGCGTTCAAAGATATTGTTCTAGACACATTCCGAGTGTTGCCAACGAGTCACACTTGCAATGGTGAATGAGGGAGCGGATTTCCAGGTGGCCGGATCCGACCTCGATAGATCCTCGACGCAATTATCTCTTCAACCAAAAAGCTGTAGAAGAAAACTAAACAGACCATCAGGAAGCGCAAACCTTCCGCTTTCCAAAACTATCTTCCCTTTTTCAGGATCTTACAATATAAGAGATATATTGCTCTTGAAGTGGCAAAAACTCGCGTGAAAATTTCGGCCTCCTCGACATTTACTCGACGAAATTTGACAGACCCTATCTTTCTGCAAGGAAGGCTTCCAGAGCAATTTCGATGCTTTGGAAACGCGAAATCCAGCTCTATCTAACTCTACCTCAAGCTGCTTCAAAGGTTGTGAAATGGAGGAATGCAACCTTTTCATCGAGGGTGTAGATTCGGACGTTTTTTTTGAAATTTCGGCAAATCTGACCCAGTGACAATCGCGCCGCAGCTGCCGTTGAATCGGCCTTTGATACACTCGGCTGTTTTGATATACTCAAGCAAGAATCAAGATTGAATCGCAACCCCGTGTCTTCAGGATTTCTGTGCGTTTCTGAACGAACCTCGCCTTGAGGTCACACAAAGTTAATGCCTCTTTCCTCGAGTCGATATTTCAGTATGTACACAAAAGTATGCAGCGATGGAAGACGTGCATAGATGACAAGATGAAGCGTCCTTAGCATTATTTTGCAGAATTTTTTTTTGATTTGTTTTGCAGGATTTATTTTAATTGAATTAATTTGCTCTGTTAGAGGGGGTCGTGCCAGGATCTCGATTTCGGGGGGGGGGTCGTACCTCTGCGACCACGTACTCGACACGATTTTCACCCTGCCTGCCAGGTAAGGACATTGAAGTGAGTGGGCCACTCATAGAACTCGGGACTAAGCTTTAGGGGGGGAAAGGATTCTGGGAGAGGGTGTGAGCAACCATTGTTCTCCCTGGTGTTTATTTCCAATCCTGGGCTTAGTCCTAGTGTCACCTACCAGCGGTTTTTGAATACCCTCTTCTGAATGTCCCCCCCCTGAGGACATGAGCGCCCTCTCTCCTTTCCGGTGGCTGTTCTCTCCACTCTGCTCATACTGTCTGTCAGAAATGTCTGTCCACTTTTCTGCCCCGTTCAGGCTAACTGAACAAGGTGTTACTCACAACGCGTTGCCACCCAATGTCCCCGTATCCTGCGATAGCGCCGCGGTACACTCTCGGCTCCACTTTTGTTACTTTTTGACGAAGTGATCGGTTCTTCGACAACGTTTGTTAGTCTGTCGTGCTGCGGTGTGTTGTGAGACACTATCAAACACGCTTTATTCAGTAGTAAAGCTTGCTATTCACAGGGTCGTAATAGGTGGGCCACCATTCGCCGCTTTCCAAGTGAAGTTGGTAGTAGCCTTCATTTGCGATAAACTTTCCAGTATCTGCACACGATCTGAGGTCATAGACGCTGAAACATAATGGAGTTTGTCATTTCGTGCCTTTTCTGATGGAAATACTGCTGCAGCTTACGTGGGAGTCCCCGTCTGTCCAGTTTGTCTCATCACGGTGAATTCGATACGAGCAGCAAAAGGTGCGAGATAATACATCTTCGCAAAATCAGATCCTTGTCCTGATTGTGCTGCGTATGTCCACGTTCTATTGAAGAGCAAATTGGGTTTAATAATTCTGGGATTGGTCGGATGGTTCTCATTTCTTCGTACTAGACCTTGGCGAAGAACCAACACGTATAGTCCAAACTCGAAATCTTTGTGTTCTTGGTGTTTGAACTTCATTCTAGCGCTACCCGAGATTGTATTCTGATTATTGAGCAACCAAGTCTCCTCCTTCAGCCTAGACGTCTTGTTGAATGTACATACATACCACATGACAACCGCGAGTGAAGTGCCGTTATCTTGTTGCGCAGCTGCGCAGTTCTCGCTTGGTCTGAATTTGAACTGAAATAAACGGAATCAAAATACCATTGCCTGTCATCATTGGAGTTGTTTATTCTAGGCCTGGATATTTTAGCCGAGTAAGAATAACTGCTGCAAGCGCTGATGCCGATGTCAGACTTTGCGAATCGCGCGATTCGCTAGCGTCTGCGGTCGCGTCGCGGCCAGTGAATCACTCAATTGGCTGGTACCGCAACGCGACCGCGGACGCTAGCGAATCGCGCGAATCGCTAGTAGCGAATCGCGCGATTCGCAAAGTCTGACATCGGCCTATGGCAGATGCTGGGTCATGGCAGCGGGAAAGCCGATTCGAATCGCGTCAAACTTCTCGCTTTTACCTTTTGGACTGAACTGCACTAGGTTAGGGGTTTCAGTCAACCCGATCACCTGCCCGGACCTAGGCTTACTTAGTCTTAGGGATACCCCCACATCATGCGATAGTGCCGATGTCCATTTTTCAGCGGGCATTTTCAGGCCAGCAGCGCTACATTGCTATGGGTGATGGTTTGGTAGCACGCGGGCACGGTTGGGGTGATTAATTACCCAGGCCAATAAAGCTTCTAACTTCCTTCGTTGGTTAAGCGGTAGCAGACTCGACGTATAGTAAGAGAATGAAAGCACCAGCTTTCATATTGGCTACCCATCCCCCTCCCTTTCTTCTCGTAAGGCTCCCTAGTCCATTGCAGAGGCCACATCTCCATCATATGCCAGCACGATTCTGGGCGCTAGCTTTCTTAGAGGGGCCCCGCTATGCGGGCTGTGCCTGGGAGGGAAGATTAACCTCCGTGGAAGGTGAAAATCGCATTCACACCCATGTTCGCATGCGCACGTGTTCCTAAGACTCAGCCCCAGGTGGCACCAGGAGGGGGAGGCCGAATGTGTTAGGCTCCTCGCATAACGATGCCCCTTCTAAGTACACGACCGCCTCACTCTGAATGGAAGTGGAATGCGTGGCGTATTATCAACGTTTAGTGTTTGGCCTTTCATCCCCATCAAGTCCGTGAAGTCCACGTTCATAGTTAGCGCAAAACTGGTGAGCAGGCAACGAGAGCGAACACGAACCCAGTGAATGACGCCCAGTATCGGCAGCCGTCGCTGGGAGGATGGGGGGGGGGTGGTAGGGTCATTCGAGTGAGAGAGCCACTTGTAACTGAGCCATAGCGAGGGAAAGGGGTTTTAAGAAAGGATGTGAGCAGTTTTTTGGGTTTTTCCTAGCGCATCTTTCTTTTCCTGGGCTTGGTTCAAATACCTAACATTGACCCTGTACCTACCATTGACCCTGTTGTGAATGTCTCTCCTCCCCACAGGTGAGAGCCTCCGATTCTACAGTTCATGGATGAGTGCGGCCTGCGACTTTATCACTCGTAGCTTATCACTTGAGAGCCTATGAACGACCGATATCAGTCTTGCTCCTCTTCTTTCGGTCTATCTGTGCTACCAATCGATCCTACTTTCGTCAGATTCAAGCTGTAGGTTGTGACGGTGATGAGCTACAGCGTGAGTTATGACCTCGTCAGTTTTTGGGCATCGGGGAGGAAAAAATAAGAACAAGGCATTGGAAACCGCTGGGAGTTGAACTGGTCAGGGAGTGCAAACATCCCCATATTGTCCCACAGGACCTCTTCCTTCCCTAAGCTTAGTCCAAAGTACTCGGAATGGCTCACTCACTTGAATGTCCCCGGTTCGGCGACATGAGAGTTTTTGCGCTCGAGAGCGGGCACCTTGGCTCTCTTGAATGCTCCCCTTCGGCTACCGACGAGAGTTTCACGACGACCCTGCTCAACGCAGAGTGCTCGGCAGAATGACGTTTCCGGACCGCAAAACCACCAAGGTGGGATGACAAGTCAGCCTAGGTCCCCGCATCGGTGCTCTGGCATCAAAGACCACTTGATATCCCTGACTCTGAATTCCTTACAAAGAGCTCAAACGCAGCATCTGCTGGTGTTGCGGAGGCGATACACAGACACACCAGGAGGATCTTCGGACTCATCCTTAAAACCTGAAAATGAGCCTTGAACTGAGTACCGGAAACAATCTGCCACCACTGACCGCTGTTGTATAGCAATGCCGTTGATTGCTGGAAACGACGACACAGTTTTTCTTGAAAGTCGTACTTCCTAACTTCCCAATTGAAGTCGGACGAGTGACTGAACAATGAGACACCCTCCTTCGAAAGCGGCTTAAATAGGCCTCGTTATCCCCTTGTTTACTGGACTGTCCATTTATCAGAATCAGTCATTCGTTTGTTTTCGTATGCTTTCGACCAGCGGATTGCCAGCTCTAAGTGAACCAGAGAGGCTTATCAGACACTCGAAATGCATTGATCATAACCTCTCCCCCACTGCCACCTCAGAGAATCGGCGAAAGAAATGGATAGGTATCGATTACCCAAAACCCCACGCTCATGTCTTTGGGGGGGGGGGGGACATCACAACAGAGCCGATGGTAGGTGACACTTGGACTAAGCCCAGGAGAGGGGAGAAACGCCAGGGAGAACACATACATTGCTCACATCCTACCCCAGAATCCCTTCCCCTAAGGCTTAGTCCCAAGCACAGCAATGGCTCACTAACTTGAATGTCCCCCCCCCCCCTCCCCCAACGACATGAGCGCCCCGATTTGTATTCGACTGCTGTACCATTGAGTACCTCTGCTGTCACTCGCAGGGAGCAATCAAGTTATGGAGCGTTCAAGGTTGACTATCGCGCGCGATTCGGCGATTCGGCGATTAGGCGATTAGTTCATACTGAAAAATGCACGTATAGAATAGGCGATCAGGCCTGTAGGCGATTGCTCAATGGGCAAGCAACAAATCAATACGTATCCTTCTCTTATCGCCTACTCGCCTAATCGCTTAATCGCCTAAGCGACGTACCATCGCCAACTATGAACGCTCCATTAGCCTTCGTGCGTTTGAAATAATCATCCACGAAAACTAGGTCTTTTCCATTCCCGACATTGAAGTACATTTTGCGATCACATCAGAAAACCCACTAGCCTACAGATGGTGAGTTAGCAAGACCACGTTTTCAACTAATGAACTTGAATGGGCTATGTATCGCTCCCAATCAATATCTACACATACAATTTTGTTCGATGTAAACAACATTACCGTAGTCTCGCTTTATTCGGTAGAATTCAGCCCTTTATCGGTCTATTCAACACACAGACAACGTGAAGTTGAACCCACTTTGTCAAAATTAAGACGCTCGTGGTCTTAGAACGAAGGGGGGGGGCAGGGAGTGGAGCACATTCAAAGAAGGATATTAGAAACTTGACTGCAAGGCGCTCATTTTCTGGGGAGCACCCCAAACAGGGACGATAGCAATTTGTAGTAGAAATAAGTTCAGGAGAGGGGAAAAACGCCAGGGAGAACAACAAGAGGTAAGCAAACCAGCCCTTTTGGCGTTTCGGCTGGGACCGTATGCTGAATGTTGGGGAGGGGATGGGGTCCCCAACGGTCGACGGTTTACTTCAACTCGGTTGGTACGATAGGAGAGTACTGACGCAAGTGGTGCAGCTGGTCCAGCAGCTCCGCCAGAAGGGCTGGTTTGCTCACCCCAGGACTAAGCCTTGGAGAGGGGACGGACCCGTCCTCTCTTTA